TATTGTTAGATATGTGTACTTTTTTAATGTCATTTACTAGATAATGTGCCTTGTTAAAACCTTGACTAAAATAAAACCCAGTGGAAAAAAATCTAGTAAATGAAAAAAAGTACACATATCTAACAATACGTCTTTTGGTTGCCTCATTAAAAACCTTGTAAGGAGAACCCATTGGGACAAAATCTTGTAAGGGAAAAAGAGTACAACGCGTATTAACTCCCCCTGATAAGAGCATTAATTCATATATTTGAGCCTTTGCATGCTAACCTTGTGCACCATCTTCAAAAGATTGTTGGTAGATAGTTGATAAACAAATCAGCCATATTAATTCCAATGAATATGTTGCACCCTGAAATAATCATTCTTGTATATATGTAATCTCTTCATATAATATCGTGGAATAGCCTTTTCAATATCTCCATAGATATATTCTCGCTATCACATTATCATGTTTATAGTTATAGCAAGATACATATGTGCACAAATAGCACTTAGAATGTGGTACTTCAAGACCATTGTATATGCTTTAAGTGATTTAAATCCTTCAAGGATTGTCATATAATTTAAGTCATATAATAGACTTTAATTAGATGCATATCAAGTTTTTCATGTCATGCTAGACAAATAAGATATCGAAAACTGATTGCACATACCATTGACTTTATACTTTCAAGTGTTTGAACTGCAAGTCCAAAACTACATGTCTTTCATATGAAATCAATTCTACTTGAATTGTTTCTCTTCCATTTGGCTAGTATTTTTGTGTCTGTATTCGACAAACTTAAGATCCTCGTCTATACTTGGCGCTATCATAGATGTCGTCGACGAATATTTTATATCGGTTCTAATTTTTTTTATAAAGACATAACATAGAGATCTCTTCATTCATTTCAGGTACCTGAACCTCTCTTGAGATTTTATGAAGTGTTATGTCATGTGATCTTCTAGACATTTGCCTCCTTATTATGATCATTTTGATCATTTGCTCATCTTCTTTGTCAAGAATTTTAATTGAAACCGATTTGTCTATACGCTTTAAGCGTACCATAGACTTTGTCCTTCTAGGACTTATTCTAATAGGAGCATTTTCATTGAAAATATAGTTACTTGCTTTGGGTCAGCAAATGCGTCCGGCATGCTTTGCAATATATTGCAGATGAATTATCTTTTTATGAACTTCAAGTTCATATTATTTTATTCGGGGATCTAGATGTATAAATAATAATTCATTCCATGTAATATTTTCTCAACTGTTGTATCATGTCTCCCCCGCATGTTAGAAAAACTAACTTGCTTCCTCAACTTTGCGTTATGGTGTTAATCAAAACATACACCGCACATCAATAATAATAAGATGCAATTATTTGGTTTCTGACCCTGAACCACTTGTGAGGGGAGAAAATAATATACTTTCATATATAACGTATATCAAACTAATATATATAACTTTGTTCTCATAAGAAATAGTTTAGCTATTAAATTACTGAGCAAGTTACCTCGTAAACACCGACCAAGTTGTGGGTTAATAATAATCGCACATGTAACCATCTCATAGATGCATCTTATGTGTTATACATGGCAGGTGAATGGGCCCATATTCATCTTTCATATTTCCAGAATATATGAGATTCAATCCCAATTTCAATTGGTCTATTAATTAATGAGAACAACATAAGAGAATTCGTAAAGAACTTTCTAGTTCTTTAATATTTACCCATGTGAATTCTCTTTTATTTTTGCACATCATACTTAAATTAACATGGCTAAACTAATTATGCCGACTGAATAAATTACCAATATTGATAAAGTTCAAATTTACACCATGACGTGTGCAATTATCAATAAACTCTGAGTTTATTATGATATAGGTTTTTATATAAATAAATATCCACTTTATTGTGGTATTCTTTTATTTGTGTAGTACAAGCTGGAGAGTAAAGCGGGTAACTTTTCACATACATATTACCCCAGTACAAGTTGTAATAATAGAAAATATTAAATCTCTCCTTTATTTATGGTCTCAATATAACCAACTGCTTTGGTGAATACTTTAGAAACTCAATTAAGTTTCTTTGAGACTTACTATGGCACCATACCTGATTGATAATCAATTTTATTTCTCCAAAGTAGTATAATTGGCTCTTTTAGAGCTTTCAATTAATTTGTACTACCACATATTCATCAACATACATATGGTGAATATCTATTTCAAGGAGAAAGTTATATCATTATGGTCATGGTCAAAATCATTATATGCAAGATATGTTGCTTCTATTACTTTTGCCCTGTAATAATCACATTGCCATAATATTTTAGCATAATCACAATATGTACGTGATCAATACCATTCATGCATAATAATGAAATTATCTTCTTATTTCATCTCAAACCTCTTTCTAGAGGTGAGTGTGGTATATTTAGTACCATTAGCACATTCATATTCTTTCAAGAATGAATATGTATTTGTAAATCACATGTTGTTACATTCACATCAAGAATGGACCATAATCATCTATATGTGCTTTATAAAATCTCATGTCAAATCAATGACAAATTACTTTCACAAAGTGAAAGAATATTTTGAGAATCCTTATTGTTCTCATTACCACAATGATGACGATTATAATTTCGTCTATTGCCACGTCCACATCCATTGATACATTCATAGTAATAATTTTGTCTTCTTTCAGACATTACATACTGCTATCACATTTTCTTAAGGGAATGAGAATGAAGCAAATTCAGTGGGACGGGTTTTTACTTCTTTGCCCACAATCATACATGAATTTGATCATGGCAAGGCATAGAAATTTTACCACTTCAGGTGGTTATAATTTCTTACAAACCCCATTAAAGTTATAATCAAAATTTATTGTCTTTGCTTGTATTTAAAATCAAATTATAGAATAAAAGAGAAAAGTACGGTAAAATACTTACCTTAGATCCAAAATTTAATCATGAAGGAAGTTCACGGAACAATTGACAATCATTATGCTCAATCCCAAAGCTTCTACTCAATTGGTTAGAGTCTCGTGCTGATAATATGTTATAAAATAATAAAAGAAGAAGAAGAGTATTACAGAGAAAAATAGAGAGCGAATTCTTATTCATTTTTGGACGAATTACAATGGAATAGAACCCCTATATTTATAGGGGAAAAATGACTTAGCCATCAAGTAACAAACCCTAAAATCTCTCTAAAACATAGACATTCACCATAAATAAAATATTATTTCTAACAATATGTTAATAGTGGGCACCCTATATACAAAGCAGATTTTGGTTGAAGCAAAAAGTGCACCCACGATCTTCAAATCCTGGGCCCGTCTCTGACACCAACTTTAATTGTTGCAAAAAAAAAAAAATCATATAATTATAGTATAACTAACTAATTGTATAAATAATTTTTTTACATTATCAGTGCGTTCTAATATGATATCGTTTTGAGAAGCTTTTACAAAATTGTTTTGGAAAACTCAAAACGACGAGATGTTTTAATAAACAAGTAAGCTGAAAATCTAATTATTCAAGTTTTCAAAACGTAAAAACCAACAAAAAATAGATTTTCTTTCCAAAAAGTAAATCCAAACCTCCCATAAAATTTATATTCTAACATTAACGAAAAACGAGGGATATGCAACTTACGTGAAGGACAATTCTCAGCTAATTTGTGTAGCTAATGGCGCCTAGTCATAGTGGTAAATTTGAGATTTTTAAATTTAGAAGTATTAGATTTTATTCTTCCTAAAATTTAATTCATTGAAACCTTCAAGTCTAATACTTAAATGTACTATTGCATGTTATCCAGTTTACTAAAAAAAAAAAAAAAAAAAAAGAATCTCAAAGTATCGCATGGGGAATTTCTTTGTATGGAATGAGGAATGATCATAATACACCACCATGTAACACAGTGGACAAATAAAATCTCTACACTATTAAGTATTAACCTGATGTCTCTGATTCATATGTATTCGAAAAATTAGTTGTTTGGACCTAGTACACCAATAAGGGGTGCTAACTAATTTATAATTAACTGACTCATTAATTAGGTTTAACTATAGTTGTCTAGTGCAGTCTATATTTAAATACTATTATGGGTGTTGGGAGACTTGTTCGCAAGGGAGGGTGACTAGAGTTAGTTTTCTGCATCTAAATTTAGGATTAATTAAGCTGTAAAAATAAGGGGTTCATTCGTCACATAAGGATTCTTAACGATCAGTAATTCGAGTCGAAAAAATTAAATTTATTATATCAGTAAACTATGCATAAAGGAAAAGAAAGAGTCTTCGATTGTGAATTCACAATGTGAAAAGAGCTGCCTTTTGTTTTTTGTTTTTTTCTTGGATAAGGGCTGCTGGTATTCTATCTTGACACGATTGTGAAAATTAAACCAAATCATAACTGGTAAGACTTAAGGAAGTTGAAATGATTATACTGCATTTCTCCAACGTTGACAATTTAAATTGGATTTTCTTGTTACTTTGTCATATGAGTCCACATTTGCAAAAGCTATAATA